GTCAGAAATTTAAGTATTTGGACCCTAGCAACAAAAGAGGCTCGAGTATAATTGAAAATCTAAAAGTGTAGAAGGATTCTCTGGTCTTATAATGGACTTATTTTTCATTTAGCCAACAGTATAATTAGGAAATGTTCTGATTCTTGATGGTATATGGTACATCACTCTATTTAAAAAAAAACAACATTTCTTTTAAGTAAGTTTCAAAGATTGTATCCTAGTCTGGATAGGAATAATTTTCTTGGTAAATCCGTGACCTTTTGGAAAGAGCTCTAGTGCTTTTGGGTTTGGGTTGCTAAGGGATTAATCAGTGCAAGGGACGAAATCAACACTGGGGATGAGAGAGGTTTTTAAACAGCTGAGAGTTGGCTTGCAGAAAATCCAGGGTAGGTGGAAAAACAGACCCACATGATCCTTCCACTGTGGATCTGCTTAAGGCTCTGTATTTGTCTTTAGGTGAGGACCAAATGTCAAGGACAGAAACAACAGTAGGGGCTGTGACTGGGATGTCTCATGACCCCTCCACAGTTCATGTAGCCAATTAAATTCCAATGTGGTAGTATTACAAAGTGAGCCTTGTAGGAGGTAATTAGGTCCTGAGAGCAGAACTCTCAAAATGGAATTAGCAGCCTTATAGAAGGGCTAGAGGGACCAAGTTAGGGTGCCTTCTGTTCCCCCATTTCTTCTGCTACATGAGGATCTACTGTTCATCCCTCCTGGAGTGTGTAGCAATAAGGTACCATCCTCAAGGCAGAAACTGAGCTCTCCCCGTACACTGAACCTGACAGTGCCTTGATTTTGGACTTCACAGCCTCCAGAACTATGAGAAAAAAAATTTTTTTCTATTGTTTTAAATTACCCAGCCCCAGGTATTTTTGTTATAATGGCATGACTGATCTAAGACAGCAAGGTGCATTTAACTGATCAAAACATAGCAGCAAAACGTAGAGCATTGCACATAGTAGGTTTTCAACCATAAAGGGAGGGATTAATTATTTAGCACCCATTTAGCAGAGCACTGTCCCAGGAATGGTGCATAATAATGAGAAAAACAAGTTTCTACTCCTAAAATGCTTGCGATTCCAGTGTCAGAAACGAGAACTGAAAACACAATGAGAAAACCTTTAGACTGATATAATTTCCCAGAAGGAGCTTCAGGAACACATATAAAAAAGCAACTAATGGTCTGGGTGGGAGTGGGGAGAAGGATGCTTCTGAAAGCAAGGAACATAGTATTTTCACTCAATAATAGTCTGCACAAAATAAATAGGTAACAAAGATCAAAAAATTACTTTTGATGGCCAGTGAAGTGGAATTAAAAGAATTATATTCATTGATGGGTACAGAACACTCAGTGCCTTCTAACTCCAAGTCCTCTACCTTTCCACCATATAATGCAACATCTTATTATTTAAAAAAAATAAAAGCACACATATTCATTTAAAAATTGGATGCACAGTTGAACCACTAGGGAACAGAACTGGAGAAAGAGATGTTTCTCCTTTAGTTTCTGACTCATCTTTCCTGTAGCTCTTGTTCTTGGGCTCAGCTCTGACATTTAACTTCTGATTGCACAAGTGGTCTGTGGTTTGTCTGCTTTTGAGGGAATTTAGATTGAGAAAGAATGTGGGAGAGACCTTTTGTCTCTAACCCCGGGACGGATGGAAGAGCAGCTGTGTGGAGAAGTAGACAGGGAAGGATTATTTATTATGGATTTATTATTATTGTGAAATAGGTTAAACGAGGTCTGATGACTACCCACCTTCTCATCATTGCTACACTTTCCTGCTCAGAACTTTCCGACTCCCCCTGACCCTCTCTCTGCAAAGGACAGGTCTGAAGATATGTAAGTAGTTACAAATTATGGGGATTCATTTTGCTTCTCCATTTGACCAGATTCAGGGATGTCTGGAAAATTGGTAAAGCCCCATGTCCTCATGTGTCTAGAAGGGTGTTTATAGAGCAGATTGGCCTGTCTGTGAGCCGAGTGGGGAAGACCTTCTCTAGTGTCACCACTCAGTAGGCTGGGAGCCCAGATGGAAGCAAAAAGCAGAAGGGGAGACTGACTCATTGTTTTCTCTTTCTCTCTCTCTCTCCTCCAGCAGGTTCATTTCTTCCTGCTGCTGCCCTTGGACATCAGACTCCAGGTTTTTTGGCCTTTGGATTCAGACCGAATCATTGGCCTCATTTCTCCTTCTGAGGTTCAGCTTGTTGGCCTGAGCAGCTCCAGGCTTTCCTGACTCCCCAACCTATGGACAACTACCACGGGACTCTTCCGCCTCTGTGTGAGCCAATCTAATAAATCTTTTTATGATTCTATATATTCTGTGTCTGTTTCTTTGGAAACCTGACTAATACACTAGTGCAGAGCATATTGGGGAGGGAGGGGGGGTTCCACCTAAAAGTTGGCAGCATAGGTAGTCTGCTGGCAGTAGGAGGGGCCTCTTTCATCCTCAGGAGAGAAGCTCTCTCCTTCTGGCATGACCCCCGTCATCAGAGAATGCTCTTATTAGGCACTCGGTATAGATCTCTCCTGGCCTGACCCTGAGAAGCACCATCAGAGGAGAGCTTACAGCATGTTCAGGACCTCTAGACCCAGCCTCGACCTCTCAGGAGCTTCTTTAACAAGTCGTATTTCTTTGATGCAGACATAGCAAAGACACAGAACGGAAATCAGAAAGAGAGAGCCAGTTCTTAAAAGAACCCGGGTCTTTCCAGCCTAGGATCTCAGAAGTCTGTGAAGATATTCCTTACTCTAGACGATCTCTTTGTGAATCGTGGAGAGAACTGGACGATGGTTTGGTGCTGAAAAAGGGGCAGCTCAGACACTGGGTAGAATCCAGAATGTGGGGGAAAAAAAAAAGAAGAAGAAGCCCAAAGCCCCATCCTTCCCTGCTTTCCCTCTTGTAAGCACACCCCGTTTGATGGAAATTTGGTGAGGGATTCTGGTATTGCCACCACCTGTCAGAGAGTGGTCTAAACGCATTTCACTTAAGCATAAGGTCGGAGGATTTTAGCACATTTAACTAACGGCCTCTAGGGATTTAGCAAACATTCTAAATCTGGGAAACACAATTTAGGGAACATTGTGAGTGTTTTTGGAAAAGACTCCATCTTAAAAAAATAAGGAAGCAAACAGTCAAGTATAATTGAACATGTCACTTATAATTAAAGTAGTTTATATTAAAAGATCACAGAGATAGCAATCAGGCACCCATTAAGGAGAGTGATAGCGCAACTCTAAGTAACGTTCTAGAAAGGATGGGGCAGAACTAAACAGTTCTAACCACTTAAATTAAATGAAATTGAGTAACATTAAAAATTCTGTTCATCGGTCACACCAGCCACATTTCACAGGCAACAGTCATGTTGTGGTGGGGATGAGATGATTGGGAACTCTTCTTTTTTTTTTTCTTTTTAACACTGTCCTATTTACAGTAATGATCATTACTCTTATTTTAAAATATTTTAATTTAAGCATGAGATTATGATTTATGAATTGGAAAAGTCAAAGACAATGACAGTGAGAACAGAGAGTGGACTGAACAGAAAAGAGACCACTGTGGACATTTCTAGCCACAGTTCCAGTAGAGTCTTGGCTTCCAAAGCCTGATTATATGGAGTAAGCAGAACAATTTTATTAATATGTCAGATGAGAACAACAGATGTCACCTGCCTTTTTTTTTCCTGTTCCTGATGGACCTACTGCAATGAGTGATAAAATAGAGTTAAGAAGATATTAAGCTAGGAAAACTGTAGACATATTTGGATTGGGGAAGAGGAAGCGTTGAACTAAATGGAGGCAAGAGGAGCAAAAAAAAAAATAAGTAAAAATCCTGGTATCTTTATTTTAGGGCCTGAAAAGTGCTGCTTCACCCCAAAGCAGCCACCCAGATGCCGTGAACATGTTTCATGTAAATATGATGTTACGTTTTTTGAGTAAGTTATAAAAGTCTAGACAGGATGGCTAATGATCCACTGGATGTGGGGAAAGTGGGTATTGTGGTTTGGATGCGAAGTGTCCCCCGGAAGCTCCTGTGTTAATGTAGAAATATTCAGAGGTGAAATGATTAGATTGTGAGAGCCGTAAGCTAATCAGTCCGTCCTAGTTTTAATGGACTCACTGGGTGGTAACAGTACGTCTGTGGGGCGTGGCTGATGGAAGCAGGTCACTGGGACCATGCCCTTTGCTCTCTCTGCTTTCTGGCCACCATGAGTGGAGCAGCCCTCCTCTGCCAAGCTCTTCCACCACGATATTGTGTCTCACCTTGGGCCTAGAGCAAGGAGTTGGCTGACCATAAACTGAACCTCTGAAACTGAGCCAAATGAACTCTTCCTTCTCTATGCTCTTCTTGTTGTTTTTTTGTTCACAACAATGAAACGCTGACTAACACAGTGGGCCAGGTACATAAGCCCAGGATCAAAATGGGAATAGAATTTAGTTTATTGCCTATGATGTACATTTGGATTGAATTCAAAGGGCAATGGGAGCCGCAGTGGCCCTTTCAGACCAATGTTCTTTCCATATTGTTTTGCATTTAAAGTCATGAATCATTTAACAACTGGGGCACATTCTGAGAAATGTATTTTTAGGTGATATCATTGTGTGAACATTATAGGGTGTACTTATGCAAACTGAGCAGCTACTTTGTCACTGGGGGATGTAATCATAGGGGACCTCTGGCATATATATGCTCTGTTAACCAGAAATTTCGTATTTGATGTACAATTGTGTATGGAGGAAAGGTGTGGGGTGTGATGTACTAGGAAGCTATCATTTCACCTTTCTGAGGTGCATGAAGGAAAACACATTTCTTCACTTAGCGACCCTCCCCAAAGAGGAAAATAAACAAAAGCCTTGTAGCAATTTGTATTTGTTCTCCAAAGAGTACACTTCAGTGACCATTTACACCGCACAAATGGTTGCTCATACTTGCTCACAATTTTTCCTAGTATTCTTCCCAATTCTCTCCAATCACATTACTCTGAGAATTTAGTGCTCACCTAAATTTTCCTCCACTTGGTGACACACCTGGAGAAGTTTTAGAGTCCCTCATCAATTAAGAGCAACTGCCTAGTTGTCTCACTTTTTAACCCATCTCTTTCTGGGGTGCAGAAGCAATCCCGAACTGTTAGTGTGGCTCAGATGCAAAGTCCAAGGCTGTTAGTGTTCCTAGAAGTGAGGGAGGTACTGGTGAGAGGGATGGAAATATGGGATGTGGGAGTAAATCCCACTGCTAGTTCTTCTTGGCCTTTGGGTAGCTGGACACATAAGAAATCAGGTAACAATGAGGGAGCAGCAGTGTTCACCTTGGGCAGGGAGAAGGTCACAAAGGGCGCCGTGGAGCCAAAGAACTCTGTTGGCGTTACCAGTGAAGGTTGACCGGGGTGAGCTCTCAGCATCTGGAACATGGATCAATGAGTAACAACTGTTTTAGCACCAGAAGACCACTTTTTTTTTTTTTTTAACCTACTGGTAGCTATTTGAGTCTCTGCTCTGCCAGAAGTGAGTACAGCTGAGCACAGGAACAGCAGCCCTTCTGCCACCCAAGACTGGGCCTTGTGTGAGACGGAGCCCTAGGGGCATTTCTGTGTAAGGAACACACCAGTAGATAATCTCAAAAGCACGGCATAGAACAGAAAGGAGCTTTCAAAATGATTTATACATTCCAGAAGGATAAAAACCCTGTGGGAGAGTCAGAACACTGAAATGTGCTCATGCATCAAAATCTTAGTCATGAAGCCAATATTCCTACCAGAGGGAAAAAAAAAAAAAAGAAAAATAAGTGGAGGGGGAAAACACAATTTGAGGGTGAAGAAGGAAATACCATTTGCAAAGGGAAGAAATCATCCCAGAGACTGTGGACATGCCAAAACATTTCAATCTTTTTATATGCAACATCTTTGCCTAGAAACAATCTGTTTATTAAAAGAATTAAAATATGCAAGGTAGGCTAAGTCTCTGTAATTAAATTTTGTGTGTAAAGGAATCGTGCAGTTAAAGAAATAATGATGGTGCCTTATTATCAGAATTCCCACTCGTCTCCTCTCCTCTCCTTTCTTTTATTCTTTCTTTCCCCACTTTCTCCTCCCTCACCGACCCTCCTTGACCTTCTATTCCTTTTTCCTCTCCTCTTCTCTCCCCTTTTTTCCTTTTTCATTTAAAACAAAATAAATCTAAGAAACCATGGAGGGAGGAGTTAACTTAGTAAGAAAAGGATGATTACATGAGCTACTTCAATAAACCACAGAATGGTCCTTCTTTGGGACAGAGCCTCCTTAGACTAAAAAAATGCCCACCCATCTTCTTGAGGGCATGGAACCTGACTGGGCTCCTTTGTATTGTAGAACAGATCAAACAGTTACAAAAGACTACTGCAGTGTCACGAAACCTGATTGTCAGTTTTTGTTAAAGACAGGCTCAGCCTTATGAGGTTCTAGGCTAGCCTCCAGAGATTATTAGATCACTTAGATCCCACTAGACTCTGGCTGGGGCACCAGGTGCTAATCACACAGAGCCCTTCCGACCCTGTTGGCTTTGCCTTTAAGGGAGCTGCTTCCTAAACTCCGTGATTAGGAAGGGACTCTCAGAGGAGTTCTGTTGTGCAACTCCTGTCTCCTGGGTTAATTTTCTAGGAGACTTACTATATTCATCCCGTGGGTCTGCATGGAGTCAGAATCCAGAAATAAGCCAGGGGATCTCATTACAAGTGGCGCACACAGGCATACTGAGCAAGCTGTGATCTCACGTGGCCTGGTACCTAAATTTTCTTCTAGTAAAAAATAGCTCGACCTCAGTTGAAGGTATATGGAATGTCACTTGGCACTATTCTTTGTTCTTTTGAATCCTTGTTAGTGGTTTGTTCTTGGTGAGTTATGGGTGATAATGCTCCTGTATAAAGTCAAAGGTGAGGCTCCTTTGTGTATATAGAAAGAACTTACCTGGTTTCTCCTATTAGAAGGGGAAATGCATGGATTTGTTTAGGTAAGAACTAGATTTAGGGACAGAGACTGAAACTGGAGTATGAATATTTCTTTTTATTTGTATGACTATTCCAAGAAGTTTAGGCAAGCGACTTAAAAGTTTTAGGGAGTTATTCTCAATTATCATCATAGCAAGCAATTGCAGTGTGGCGGAACATGTACGGAGTGGGTCTTTGCATGATCATCACATCTAATCCTCCTGAGAATCCCATGCAGCAATCCAGAGAAGCAGCTGTCGTTGCAAGAACTCTGAGTGAAGTGTTTTGCATTTCTCTTTGGCCTCTATCTCTAGACACAATTGTATAACTATGGGCCTCATCAGAGGAATGCAAATTAAAACCATGAGTTATTTAGAATGGCCATCATTAAAAAGACAAGCAATAACCAATGCTGGTGAGAATACAGAGAAAGAGAACTCTTAGTTATTCTTGGGAACGTAAATTAGTACAGCCATTACGGAAAACAGCATGGCTGTTCCTCAAGAACTGAAACTAGAACTTCCATATGACCCAATAATTCCACCATTCCACAACCCGAAGGAGTTGAACTCTTCATATCAAAAAAGATATTTGTACCTCTGTGTTTACTGCAGCATGATTCACAATAGCCAAACTATGGAATCGCCCAAGTGCCCTCCAACAGATGAGTGGATAAAGAAAACATGATATATTCACACAATGGATTACTATTTATCCATAAAGAAGAATAGAATCCTGTCATTTGCTGGAACTTGGATTCAACTGGAGAACATTTTGATGAGTGAAACTCACTTCATGATCAGACACCAAACAGTGAAACAGACACTGAAAGACAAATACCACATGTTCTCACTTGTATAAGGAAACAATCAGTGAATCTCGTATGGAATGGAATAGTAGATACTGGAGAAAAGGGAGGGAGAGACTGAAAGAAATTGGGAGGAGGACTAGGAAAGGTGCTGGGGGAGGGGGCTTGAGAGTAGAAGTGCTATTGGATACGGTTGATGCAATATGTATGTATGTATGGAGCTATCAGAGTGAATTTGTCAGTTTGTACAATTAGCATGTATTAATAAATACAATACAATAACAACAAAAAAGAAAAGACAACAAGAAAAAGAAATAATAAACCACGCCTCTACCTCAGGTGGAGTTAGTTGGGAGGGGAAGTAGGAGGATATCAACCTGTGATAGAAAAAATCCTAGAAATGTGAGGGATAGATTACAGCACAGGCTGATTACTGTTAGGGGAATCCATATTTAGATGACACAGACTTATTAGAATATAAACTCCAAAAAAAAGGCAAACACCACGATTATTTCACCCAATATAATATTTTCAGTGCCTGGCATACTTCCTGGAATAGAATAGTGGCTCAATAAATAATTGAACAAATGGATGCTACTATTCAGTGTACTAGCTTCATTCCTGAAATTTGTTTTAGGTTCCTTGGCAGAGGGGATTGTTGAACTGAAAAAAACATCCTACTGTTGGGTGTTTCTACAATGTTAGGGCAAGCAACATGTTCACATGTTCTCTCGATGGAAACATGTTATGCAAGAATAGACGATCTTTCTAGTCCTCACAATGCACATTTATGGAAAGAAGGGTAATTAGTTTTAAGGAATATAAAGCAGACCTTAGCTCATGAGATGGCGATTGGAAACTAATAATTTCCCACATTGCTGAAGTTCTTGTCTAATGAAGTTCATGTTCTGAATACCAAATATTTCCAGGTTCTACCTGTTCCTGTGAGTCCTGATCCCATTCTGGGAGATCCTAGACCGTCCCCTACTTTCTTGGTCTGATGCCTGCCTCTGTCCATTTCAGACGAATGGCCTTAGGATTTGAAGTAATCACCGGTTATCATTTGGAAGCTATCCTGGATTTAGTTTTTTTTTTTTTTTTATTTCCCTTGACTTCATCTCTATTATGTGTGGGCAAGGACTGTCTTTTTGCCCATCTGAAGCCCAAACTCCCTCCAAGGTCTTTGCTTCTCTGGGAAGGCAACTCATATCTTTTGAGAATGTGCCAGACACTATGCTCCATGCTTTTAATAATCACAGAATAATTACTACTAATAGCATCTGACATTTATTTTGGAGTGTTATAATTAGCCTGCTACTTGTGCTGAGTTGTACCTGAAATGCACATAGAACTGTGAGCGGCCCTGGCAATGGAGGGTAGGGTCACCTTAAAGGTTTAAATGACATCCTGTGAGAAGGAGGGATTGGTGGAAGGGATTGGAAGCAGAGGATTCATGTGAGCAATATTCGTAGTATAATTTGTTTTTGATCATATCAGTGCAGCATTATGAAAAGCAAGCCCTGCACAATACCCCTGGGGTTTTTGAGACAGAAAGGCACGTTTGTCTTTACACAAAATGATCCCAGTTTCTTATGCATTTTTAGTTTTCATTCCGATTCTAGTTTTTTCCCCCTCTAGCTCATTACTCGCTGTCAAGTTCTCAACGATTGCTTACTTATCTCTTTACAGTTGCCTCCCTGTCGCAACCTCAGACTTCTTTTCTATTGATTCATAGTTGGAAAAACAAATAGAAAGATTTCGATTCCAATTCTGCACCTATTTTGAATTGCTATTAAAATAATTATTAGTAGTTTGTAAATGTTGCCACTGCTGACCCCAACCCCCACTGCAGCTCATCAAGTGCTCCGGCTTTGTGTTGAATATCTTCCTAGTTACTTAAAGCTTTTTCTCTCCCTACTTTACAACCTGATTTTTCTGGACAATGGAACAGCAGTGACCAAACAACAAAACAACAACAAAACAAAACAAAACAAAAAACAAAAAACACCCCCCCAAAAAAAACCAAACAAATAAAACAACCCCCCCAAAACCTCCCAAAAACAAAAAACAAAAACAAAGCAATGCAAGTGGCATAATACCATATTTTTTTTATTAGACAAATACGTAGATAGGAAATTCAATGAAGAAAGAGTTAACAGGTATAGGGTCTGAGCAGATCTCTTAGAGTTTTTATTAAAGCAAGATTTCAGACCAGACCCGGGGCTTGGTGACAACATAACCATTCACTTCATAGTTCAGATCTCTCCAGTTCAGGATATTCGGACTGGGAGGGGAATCCTGATATACAAGCTGGATCTCTTCTGGAGACAGCACCGTGTCCCACAAGTATAAATCTGCGATCTCGCCCACAAAGGACTGGCTCTTATCAAAACTGCCTCCATAGGAATCTTGCTCCTGTCCCAGGACAATCTTGGGGTGAGGTTCCACCGAGTATCCCTGCTTCAAACCCTTTTTCACCAGAGGTTTTCCATTGATCCAAAATTCAGCAATGCCTGTGGAGGACTCCCAGCTGGTACAGATGTGGACCGGGGCAAGGGGGTCTTCGACAACCTTGGCTGTGACTTTGCTCCGTCCGATGTATAGATTATACTGTCCAGCTTTTTCTTTATAGATCAGTAGCTCGTTGTCCTTACCCTGAGCATTGTAGGAGAAGAGGCTGTAGGCCCGGGAAAGGTCACTATAGGCTCGCAAACACAAGGTGAGGTTCTGCAGAGGCTTCTTCACCTCCGCAATCACATTCACATGGTCAGAAGAAGATTCTCTAGGGAACACAAATACCTTTCCTCTGAGGTCTGTGGGAATGAAATCAGAAATATAATGACTTTCACCAGGAACTCGGGGGAAAAAATGATCCCAGATACAACTTCTTTTCTCATCCCAGTCTCCTTGATCGACTCCTGACCTCCCTACCTGTCTGAGCGAAGGTTCCCTGGAGGCTGGTGAGGACAGAGACCCAAAACAGCAGCTTGTCCATGTCCTTGGCCTGGGGCTGTGACAGCAGCAACAGTGACAAAGGTGGCTGTCCACTGAACTCTCGAGACTCCCACTCTTAGACCGCAGGCTTTAAGGGCACTTTGGTGAACACGGGGGTTGGCGAGCACCAATGATGTGTGGGTTTCCAGACCCTCCTCCTGGTGCGACCAATCAGAGCTGCTGACAGAACAGGATTGGCGAGGCCCTGGGCTGGGAAATCAATGGGCGTTACTTATTAAACACAAATGACCGCCAGAGCTGTTACTTAGCTCTTTCCCTTCTTTTGTGTTCCTGTATTTTCTCATTTCTAATTTGGACATTTTTCTGGGGACATAATACCTGAAGAGATGTCAATATCCCTCCTAGTTCTTCTCTTTGAGTCTTTCGCCACCAAGTGTGTATTTAATTGATCTTTGGTGATGACCCCATTAGTAGAGAACGTGCACATTTATTTACTAATTCCCAGGCACTAAGTTGGATACTGGGGAATCAGTGGTGACTGACTCTTGCACAACCCCAATGAACTTCCTCTCCAATTCTCTCTGCTACTACTTAAGCAGCCACACCTGATTAGCTGCTGCTCAAACCTGCTTTGCCTGTAAGATATCAAACTGAGGCTTTTCCTTTCCACCTATCCTACTTTTCTTCTCTCTCCTCACTAAATGGTAGGGAATCTTCTTTCTCACCCTCCTGTCTAGCTTCCGATTCATTCTCTCTTCTCTCAGCTCACTCCAGCCTTCTGACCAACCTTTTCAATGGCACAATAACTGCCACCAGTAATTAACTTTCTCTACCAATGTTCAGATTATTCTTATCTCTGGGAAGTTTCCATTATCTTCTATTTTTTTTTTTTTTTTAGGATGAATCATGGTTGCAAAGCTTTATCTGACTTGTGGCACAGTAAGGGTAGGTTTTGGAGTTGGAGTTACACACAGCTCGTTGTATCCTGAATTAAATACTAATCCTCCTGCTTAGAAGCCCATGCTGTTTCCAATCTTGCTCCAGCCTGGCTGTAAACTCCGAATCAGATCCTATTCTTCAGTCTAACACCTCTAATTGTTGTTCTTCATAGATGCCCTGCTTTCCTGGTTTGGGTACTTCTAGTTATTTCTTTCATTTCTTACTTATCCTTCTCTGTTTCTTGAAATCCTAACTGTTCTTCAAAATTAATCTTGAGAGTAATCTGCTTCATGAAGACTGTTGTGGTCTGGATGTGAGGTATGCCCCTCAAAGTTCACCAATGCAAGAAGGTGCAGAGAAGAAATGATTGGCTTAGGAGAGCCTTAACCCAACCCGTGAATTAATCACCTGATGGGATTAATTGAGTGGTAACTGAAGGCAGGTGGGACGTTGGGGGCGTGACTTTGGGGTATATATTTGTATCTGGTGAGTGGAATCTCTTTCTCTGCTCTCTGATCATCATGTGAGCCACTTCCTTCTGCAATATTCTTCCGCCATGTTGTTCTGCCTCACTTTGAGACCTGAGGAATAAAGCCAGCTATCTATGGATTGAGACTTCTGAAACCATGAGCCCTCAAACTTTTCCTCCTCTACAGTTATTCTGGTTGGGTCCTTTTAATCACATCCGTGAAAGTCTGACTAAAATAAAGACTTTTCTGATGTCTCAACAGGACATTAATTTTGCCTCTTTTGGACTCCCAATAAAGTCTTAACCAAAGAACTTGGAGTAGGATTCCACTGTTTCTGTTCACTAGTGGTTGACTATTGTCCAACCCACTAAAGCTCTCTGAACCTTAGATTCTTTCTTTGCAAAACAAAGATAGAGCTATCTATCTCACAGTACTGTGGGGAAGGATAGATGAGAAAGTATAATATGCATAAAGTGTACAGAACATTATCTAGTTGGCTACTATTATTATTTTAAAGCCTTTTTTTTGGTCTATTACCAATGTGTGCCTGGAATTGAAAATATTTTAGCATATTTATCTCTTATCCCCTCTAGACAAGATGGTTACTTGGTCTTATTCATATTTAGATCACTCATCTGATTTTTTTTTTAAACATGTGAAATGAGCCTTCCATATGTTTGTGCAATCAAAGGGCACAAGTAGGGCAAGGACTTCTTACATGCAACAGCTTAGGAGCAATGCAAACTAAGAGAGAATGGAGTACTATGAGCAGGTGACACTATAAATAGGAACGGGGAGGTAACCTTTACTGTGAACCCTGGGAATATATAATTCCTGGTCCCAGATGTTGATTAATGAGTGTCATAAAATTCACAGAATAGGGTTCGCCAGCTGCTTCTAGTTTTCATCATAAATTAACAAATTATCATTCTGTCAACAAAAAATGGTTTGGATATTAATATAAAAGAAAATCCCTTTTTTTTTTTTTTTTTTAACTAGGAGCTGAGTCCATGGAGCTGGACTGGGGAATGAGGGATGATCCTGGAGAGACTAAAGGTAAGGGGATTTGTACTGCCATTGGGGCCAAGTGCCAGGGCTTATAGTTGACCATGAAAATGTGTTCAGACACTGTGAAGAAGTGATCTTGGTTAAAAAGCTCGTCCATAGTAGAATGGGAAAGAGGGAGGAAAAATGGGGCCCGACTCGTTCCTTCTCTGGAATATGTTTTTCAGGCTTTGTAAGGGAATTGACTGTGCTCTGGCTGTCATCAAATTGGAAACCAAGGACTTTGTCTATACAGAAAGTCAGGATATAGGAAAATAAATCCTGGGTCTTCAGGACTGAGTGGTGTTCTCAAGGTGAACCAATACCTGCTATTGCCACAAGGCTCCTGGGTGCTTTCCTGCCCATGAACATGCAGATGCAGGTGGGTGCCTGTCTAATGGCTCCAGAAGGCTTGAGTGTAAGAGAGGAAAGATGATAGATAGGATGCTGAGGAGAAGCAGGGCCACCTGTGTGTCTCAAGCAGGGTTATCCTGGTTCAGTTAGATGGCATACAATTGAGTTTGATATTTGCTGTATGTTCTGTTAGCTTAAGTTTACTTACAAGCATGTAGAGGCACTGGAAGAATTCAGAATAATGATTATTACCCTGGTGTGTAGTTGTACAAAATCAAAGCTACACAATTTCATTCTGATGAAAGAGTCTTGTGGAAAAGGAAAAAAAAAAGAAAGAAAAACTGAGAATTTAAAAATAAAAATATGTTGAATATAGAACCCAATTAAGCTTTACTCCAAATTTTTTATTGCATATTAACTTAATCCATTCTCTGTTGCTATAACTGATTGCCATAGACTGGCTAATTTATAAAGAATAAAAATTTATTTAGCTTACATTTCTGGAGGCTGGGAAGTCTGTATGGCACCAACATCAGATGATAGCCTTTATTTCACATGATAACATGGAAAAGAAATCATGGAGTGAGATACAGCAAGCATGCCAGAGACAGCCTGCTTTTATAACAAAGCGACTTCCAAGGTAAGCTTTTAATCCATTAACCCATGAGTGACCAGTCACCTCCTAAAGGTGCCATGTCTCAACACTGAGTGTGACTTTGGGGATTAAGTTTCCAAAACAGGCAATCTGGGGGCTTGCCGAAACCACAGCACATATCGTTTTAGAAAGTATGGCGCTCCTGTTGCAGTTACGATCACAGTGAGGGAGTTAATTTGGAGGAGATGGAGGATAGGTGATAAGTCTGATTCCCCAAATTTGGAATTTAAAATAATAATATGACCTGCCCATAGGGGAAGAAAAGATAAAAGGCCAGTGGAGAATGTGAACTAGGTGACGGCCACTTGGGATTAGAAATATAGGTTTCGGGGGAATCAGCATTTAGGTGATGATGAAATCATAGATTATCTCTTTCAGTGGAAAGAGAGGACGGAAAAGGTCAGAAGTCCACACACTGATCTGAGAGGACATTTGCATTCATTGGTTGGAGGCAGGGGAAGAGTTGAGGCTTGGCTGGAGAGGAAGGAGTGTGTGCACGAGTTTCCAGGAAGCAGTGTCCTGTGCCATTAAGTGCAAGAGAGAGATCTAAGTAGAAGGGATGCTGGATTTTGCAATAAAAATTTCATTGGTGACCTTTGAAAGAGCAATTTTCGTAAAGTGGGCATGGCAGGATTCAAGTTTCAGGGGATGATGGGGGGAGAAAGAAGAAGGGAGTCTATTTCCTAAGGTTCAGTGGTTTTGACAGGAAACAAAAGGAGAGAAACCAGATTCTCCTTAGGAGACTGGGGGTCCAATGTGTATTTTTTTTCTCCCTCGCAGATTATAGATTGTCTCTTTTTGACAGAGTGGTTATTTTGTCTCTGTTTCTCACTCCGTAACATTTCCTCCAACACGGAGAAAAATCAGTAGCCACCTGAGATTATGACTGACCTTTCTACCCAAGTAGCTTTTTCAGACTCTAAATGCCAGCCTGCAGGCTGTTGGCAGACTTTACTTCTGCTTCTCAACTCTGGAATCTTCACAAATCTGTCACTTTTCAGGTGCCGTTGACACACCTCTTTGAGGTGATGAGGTCTCCAGGGATCTGACCTCACGGATGAATCAATGTCACTAATGCAAGAATGGGCTTTGTTATAAATGTGGGTTTGTCCCCCTCTTGATCTCTCTTCTGTTGCTCGCCCACCATTGATGCCTTCAGCCATCTTATAATGCAGCAAAAATGTCCTCCCCAGATGTGACCTCTTGATCTGGGACTTCCCACCCTCCAGGACCATGAGCAAAATACACTGCTATTATTGATAATTTACCCGATTCTGTGGCATTCTTTTATAACATCACAAAATAGACTAAGGCAGAAACCTGGTCTTAAGAAGTGGGGCTGTTTGTATAGTGAATACCTGAAAATATGGCAGCGGCTTTGGAACTGGATAACAGCTAGAGGTTGGAAGAATTTGCAGGCTAGAAAGAGCCTACACTTCCACCAATGGAAAATTAAGAGCAATTCAAAAGTAAAGAACTTGAGGGAAAGTCAGCAATGTGGAGACTCTGTGAGTGGTTATGATGAGAAATACTGGCAAAAATGTTGACAGTGAGTGACATTTTGATGAGGTCTCAGGT